CTTTGCCTTTTAAATGCAAAAGGTCCCAGATGTCCATGATATTTTAGCACTAGACTTGAATGGCCTCACTCTGGACTTTGTCCTTGCTTGAATGAATGAATGAATAAATAAATAAAATACTTATGACTTGGGACATACCAAGCTCCTGCTCAGATTATATACTTGGCTTGCAGATTCAAAGTATCCACACTGGATCCTTTAGGAGGAGAAGCTCTGTTGAAAAGACACATGGCTCAAATGGTTATTCTAATAAGGTTCAGAAGAGTTGTAAGAACAGCTCAGAGAATTCACAGGTGTTATAGGCACAAAACCAGAGCATGCATTTAATCAAATGTTCCCTCAAATGCACATTCCTGTCTCAAATTCAACCCTGGCACCCCCTGTCCAACCCAGTGCCCTGCCTTATTTCCTGCGTACCACTTACCTTTATTTTGGTTACTTTTTAATTGTGTGTCAGCAGGTCGTCCCACCCCAACTCAAACATGAGCTCCACAAAGGGAAGGATTTCTATTTACTTATTTTTTGCCGTACTGAATTCTTCTCTCAACACACACGGGCTTTGGAACTCTCTCCTACAGTTGTGTCGCTGCAGAGCGTGGAGAGAGGGGGATCGCTGCGAGTTTGAGGCCAGCCAGGACTAGGTAGCAAGACTCTATCTCGATAAAAAGAAAAGAAAAACAACAACAACAACAACAAAAAAAAAAAACAGTTGTGCCACCATGAAAGAAAACCAAAATGAAAGCTGATCACTTAGTGGTTTTTATTCCTGCTCTCAGATGGTCCAGCAAAGATGTTCTAATCCTGTGTAATAAGTAAGTAATGTGTAAATGTGTATGTTTCACCAAGGCCTCTGCATTGTGTGTGTGTGTGTGTGTGTGTGTGTTCTTTGTACTGGGGATTGAACCCAGGATCTTTGCACTGAGCCACATCCCGGGCTCTTTAAGCTTTTTTGAGACAGGATCTTGCTAAGTCTCTAAGACGCCAAGGCAAGCCTGAAATTTGTGATCCTCCTGCTTCAGCCTCTCAGAGCCCAGGAATTGCAGGCATATACCTATGCCCAGCTAAGTTTTATTATTTTATCTTACTGCATAGGTGGGAAATTGTATTCCTGTGTTCTTTTCATTTTAACATTCTTTGCTTATTAAAATAAATCCCCCATCTAAATTCCTTATATTTGCTTCCCTCTTGTATCAACTGCTCCCAACCCTTGATCTTTTGTTCCATCCTTTCAAAGAGACTGGAAGTATCTGAAACTCTGGCTGCAACAATAGATAATGTATCAGCCATTTGCAGCATGTGCCTCCTGATCCTGTTATTTCTGGCAAGGGACTTGGATTGTGCTTGTGCTGTTGAGCTTAGTGGAGTTAAAATTTTTTTTTAGTCCAGAGACCTTTAATCAATACCAAGTGCTCCTGTCACCTTTAAACAAACGACTAGCTAGAAAAGATGGAGCAAGGTGGACGAATGCTGCAGGAGGAGGAGCTTGTTTCAGGCTGCAGGTAGTTCTAAGAGTCACTGCTTGTCCAAAGGCCTGAATCAGGCTTGAATCACTCACACTTTCTGACTCACTTCTCAGATCTCCATCTAGACAAAGTCTTATAAACCAGAATATTCCCCAGATAATGCATTTTCCCAGTTATTTTTGAGCCTGGGGTCTATGTTACCCAGGCTCACCTCAAATTCATGGGCTTAGGTGATCTTCCTGCCTCAGCCTCCCAAGTAGCTGGGATTACACATGTGCCACTGCATCCCAATTGTCCAGTATTTTACTGTAAGTTAGCTTTTCTCAGGTACCTTGGAGCAGGATGGAGGTGGTTTCTGTTATTATAACTGAGATGATATATGATTTTTTTCCTTATTTCTCCCTAAGCTTTATGTCTAGTCCTCTGTTAGATTTTGCCTGTTCTACCTGCCCATAGCTGTTGGACACATCAACTTCTTGACAACCATGCTGCTACCACCTTAGCACAAAGCCCAGGTTGCTCTCACTAAATTGGTGCATTGCCCGGACTGGACTCAAACTTGTGATCCTCCTGCCTCAGCCTCCCAGAGTGCTGGGACTACAGGTGTGTGCCACCATATCCAACCACCAAAAACTTTCTTAAGTTCTATACATCACTTCTCTTTCCCTCCTCCTGTCTGCTAAGGGTATTCTGTCTTTACCTGTTAGCTTTTCCAATTGTTTTATAGCAGCAGAGTAACAGGTGAAAAGTATTTCACCTAATCAGCCAAAGCAATTCTCACTCTCCACCCTAAAGCCTTCTTTTCCCTCCAGGCCTCCTCCGACTGTTTCCTGCTCTGGACAGTCCTGGCTCTTCTCTTCACACTTTCCTTTTCTCATCTGCTGATAACTGCATCCTGTCCAAGGTAAGTCAAATCCCCGAAGGCTTGGCTGCGCTCAGTCCTGACTTTCATTTATGGTAGCTTGCAGGAGCCTCAAAGGAACCAAGAGAATCCTCCTCGGCAGGTGGGAGGAGGGAAAGAGATGGTGCACACTCCCGCAATGTTAGTATTTTTCCTGTCGAAGGTAACCAACAATGTGGAAGGTGAAGTGATTCTGCAGGGAATTATGAAAAAAACAGAACAGGGAAACGTCCACCTGGTCTTAAAACCAAACCCAGAAACAAGGAAGTCAGGAGGGTATTTGAGGCTAGGGGATAAATACCACCAGCTAAGACTGCAGGATGGGAATTTGCATGTCAGATTAGAGGGGAAGGTACTAAGAACACAGATAGGGAAAGAAGTACAGAGCTCTTTTTTGCCGAACTGTTGAGGGGGAAAGAGATTTACAGTGGACCCTTGAGTTACGAGCAGCCTGACATATGAACAACTTGGCGATGACCAGAATTTTAGTTTTAACTTACCACCAAAGTCTTGAGTTATGACCCAAATGCTGGCTGCTTGTGCTTCCAGACAGTCTTAGATACAGGTTTAACCCTTAAAAGAGTTTTGGAAGGAACATTACAGCATCTTTTTCTGTGTAGGGTTAACTGAGAAATCTTGGGTCAGTGTCTCTCTAAGTACCCTGTATATAGGCAGCTGTATTCAGGAGAGAGACTTTGAAAGTTGTGTAGAGGAGCCTGAGCCTTCAATTGACCAACTTGAGGTACAACCATCCCACTTAAAAGAATTGAGTTTGTAAGTCAAGGGTCCAATGTATATGAAATAGATGAGAAATCTTTACTTGATCTCACTTGTGTCATCTTGGAAGAAGGAGACAGGTGGCTTCAGAAAAATGGGCCGGCATGGTGGCACATGCCTGTAATCCCAGCACTTGGGAAGCTGAGGTAGGAGGATTGCCATGAGTTTGAGGCTAGCCTGGGCTGCATAGTGAGTTCAGTGCCATGCTGAACTACATAGTGGGACCTTGTCTCACAAAATAAAACAACACTCTCCTGCCCAAAGTGAAAGATTTTATAGCCATTGGTGTTGCTAGACATGGTTAAAGGGCCTTCAGAACCTCAAAAAGGCTAGTCATGGTGCCTTTAGAGTGGGTTCATTGACACCTTCTGGCTTTAGTATTTTGGTTTAGTTTTTCAGCAAAATTTTAGCTAAGAGGGCAGACAGGTCAGGAGGTATAAGAAGATCCTTGAAATGGTTGGCACTCAGTTCAAGTATGTTGAATGATATAAAGTACAAAGGAGCAGAAAAGCAAGCATGGCTAGGGGAGCCTAGGTACAAAGTGGAGCATGGCAAGGGCAAGATGACTGTCCAATATTTGTTAATTTCCCAAAGGTACCGTGCAGCTCTTATGGCATGAAGTGGAAAGACCTAAGACTAGGTAGGCAATTGACTAGTTCAGTCCAACAAACATTTAATGGATACAAGGTCCATTTAATGGACCAAGAAAGGCTCTGTGGAATTTTTCAGAATGAGCCAGCTGGTTTCAGGGAACCTGAGGTCTTCACAAACCATGATGCAGTTAAAAGCGTATTTGTGAAGGAGGCAATGGAGACTCAAAGGAGGAGGCACAGCCCTATATACAGAGAGTCAACGAGTCAGTTGGGAAAAGTGTTTGTGAAGGTAGTATTTAGAGAAGACCTCTAGGATAGGCATGTATTTGAATGTTGCTCTGATTGTTCAGTAAGAACTTTCAAAGCACACATAACCACTGGACAACGGAGTTGAGGTGAGAAGGTCTCTGATGTGTTTAAAGGACCGTGGTTAATCTATGTAGATGTAGCAGTTTGGCTTGTGAGGAGTTATGCCTGGAAATGTAAGTCTAAGTGACCTTATAAAGAGTTCTGAAGATCTGGGGGAGAGATTTACATCTGTTTGCAAAGATAAACTGAAGGCTTGTTATATGCAGGAAAGTGACATGATTCTATGGGCGTAGACAACAGTTGAACTAGATTAAATACACGATGGTTTCTTTCTGGTTGGAAAAGAGGAATTTTAATTACATGATTAAATACGTTAATAGGGGGAAGGGGCTCTTACTTCCCAGGGCCAGCCATGGCCCTTTTCTGATTTTATAAACAGATTTTATTTTTTAAAAACAAGTCTTCCAGACTTAGATCTCTGGGAAAACAGAAGCAAACAGGGACACAGGCTTGCTTTGTTTTCCCAAGAGAGGTTTCTCAGGAGGTTTCCCAAGAGAGGTTTCTCTAATTATCTAGAAACAATTTTTTAAAACTTGTTTTTCCCTTCAGACTTCGGCAAGCACGAGGAAATTGCAATATTGCCTTAGATTCTCCAGCTTTGGTTTGCATGCGGTATTAGTCCTGAGAGACTTCTAAGGTCTCTGAGCAAGTGGTCTCTAGGCATTTGTTCCCGGCAACAAGGAAAGGGCTTAGAAAAAAGTAGTAAAGACGTGGCGCTCTGCAAGGGCTTATTTTTTTAAAAAAGAAAGAAAGCAAAAAAAAGAGGACATCTCTTTAAGATAATGCCAAAGGAAAACAAATCAGAGCGACAGCCTTGACCCCGTCTCTGGTCAGGGCCTTAGGAGAAAAAAAGAGCCCGAGCATTTCGTCCAAGGATCAGTGGCTGCGAGAGTTCCCGCGGGTATCACTTGACACCTAATTCCGCCAGGCTCCCAGAAAGGCGGTTAAAGCTACAACCTGGAGCGCCACGCAACCAATCAGAAGCCGGAGATTCCCGTTTGTCTCGGATTTCGACCAATCTGTGCCCGGAACTTTAGCTTGTTGGCCCGAGCCTCTGTTGTCCGCGAAGAGAGGCAATCCTCTTTGAAATTTGCCAGTAACAGACATGGCTGCAGCCGCTGGAGGAGGGGACCTGAAGTGAGGAGGGGGCAGGGAGGGGAGAGGATGCGCGCAAGGAAGACGCGCCCCGGGGCCTGGGTAAGTACGAGAAGGCCCGTGTTTCGAAAGTGGGGAACACGGGGGCATGGGGCTCGGCCTTCCGCGTCCTCTGGATTCTTGGCTAAGGTGAGGCGAGGCTGGGGTCTGCACCCAGAGAATGGACTCAGCGGACCCCTTCTTTAGGGGAGTCAAGGGCCTGGCTGTTGCTTCTAGCTCTTGGCCGTTTCCTTCCCCTACACCCTCCGACTCTCGCCTTCGGACCTGGCTTGCCCCCTTGGGGGGGTCCCTCATCAGAAATAAAGCGTCTTCCCAACAAAGAATTCCTGCCCTAACTTTGCCGTGGCGGGGCCCTGAGCCAGAGGCTCTCGACGCTGATGCCATGAGTATTTATAGTCGTATGGGAGTCCCCATCCTCGGCCCAAATAAAGACCCTGTCTTCCCAGCGTGTGCTGCTACGCTGCGGAGTGCTATCCTGCTGACCGCCTCTTCTGTCCCCTGTGGATAGAGTTGAGAGTGGCTCGTTATAGCTTGAGCTGTGATAATTGCAGTCTGACGCGTGTGTTTTTTTTCTTGCTTTTTTTTCTTCTTTTTCCTTTTTCAGAATCGTTTTTAGACTCCTCAGAAGCAACCATAGGATCACCATATTTGCCATCCTATAAAGCAATTTCTGCTCTAAGTCCTCGTTCCTCCACCGCACACCCTAAGTCCCAGTTCTCACAGTCCCTTGCTTACTACGGTGTGAGCCCCTGCCCCGTGCCCAGTGCCAGACTTGAGTAAAATCTTGCTCTCCTTTCACTGGTGTGTAACCAACCATGGGCTGCACTTTGGCGAGTGCATTGATTTGGTCACGTGCTGCTCCATTCCACCCTTACCTGAGTTTTTCTATGGCTCTTGAGGAAAAAGAGAAGGGAATTGAACACAGTTGCTTTCCTTTTGGTTCGTGGTTTTGTACATTGGATGGAATGCTATTTTCCTCTGCTTTATCCAAGCTGCCTAGCTTTAGTGACAGTTAAATTATTCCCTAAGTGTGCATGTGTGTGTGTGTGTGTGTGTGTGTGTGTGTGTGTGTGTATTAGGTTTTTTGAGACAGGTTCTTGCTGTGTAATTCAGACTGACCTTGAATTCACTATGTAGCCCAGGCTGGCCTTGAACTCAGCAATCCTCCTGCCTCAGCCTCCTAAGTGCAGGGCCCATAGTGTGCGCCACCATGCCTGGCCTCCCTTGAAAGATGAAAAGTGTTACCGTGGAATGGACAGATATAGTAAAAGTGGGGAGGGAGGAGCCTTAATGTTTTCATTTTACAGATGTGAAAACTAGCTGGAGAGGCAAAGGGACAGAGCCGGGGCCACCTAGAACCAGACTACAGTCAAAAACTCTAGAGTCTTGAGTTCTTCACTCACTAGAGCCAGTTGTTTCTCTGTGTGATCTGAGAAAATTAAATTCTACCTCTCAGGGTGGTTGTAAGCATTAAATGAGATGTATGGGATGGTATAGGTATGGGTATAGGTAGGATCTCCAGCATGGTGTTGAGCACTCACTAGGTCCTTAATGCATTATTTTCATTTATTAATTTTAAATAACTACCAGGTAGTTCACCACTGATTCCTTCCTCCCTTCCTTCCTCTTGGGCCTCACACATGCTAGGCAAGTTCTGACATTGAGCCACATTCCCAGATGTTTAAAAAATTTTGTATTTAGGGTGTCACTGAGTTGCCTAGGCTGGCCCAGAACTTGTGATCTTCCTGCCTCAGCCACCTGAGTAGCTGGGATTGCAGGCACCACCCCTGGCTGATTGCTTATATTAATATTCACTGTGGTCTCGCTATATTTTGGGTCATAAATTATTTCGTGATTTTCCAGTCAGGAACAAAGTGACCCTTGTCCTTGGTTTTTGGCAATCATAGTGTCAGAGATGTCATTAATGGGAATGTGTTGGGTGCAAGAACAGCATGGAGGCAGAAAAAAAATTGAGAACCACTGAAGGAAGAACAAACACCACTGTGGTGTCTTTGTATGATACCCTTGGCAAAAGAAGAGCTGATCTTAGTATCCTAAAGAGGTAATTCAAGCTGGGCATGATGGTATACATCTATGATACCAGCTACTGTCTGTGTTCTCCATCCTGTGGATGGAGCTGTGAGGGGCTTGTCACAGCAGGAGGATCAAAAGTTTGAGCCCAGCCTGGGCAACTTAGCAATTTAATGAGACCCCCATCTCAAAAGAAAAAAAATAAAAAAGGGCTGGGGATGTAACAATGTGAAGGTCCTGGGTTCAGTCCCCACTAATGAGGTTGGGGGGGAGCTGGGGATGTAGCTCAGTGGTAGAGTACTTGCCTACCATGTTCGGTCCCTAGTTCCACATGCACGCAAAGTAATTTAATAAGAAGTTTGAAAAATCATTGTAAAGATCAGAGCATAGACTCTCATTACCCTGGTGCAGGAGATAGAATGTTTAGATAAAAGCTACAAACACTGTCATCTTATTTCAGCTCTCCGGTGAACTCTAGCTTCCTTGCTCACCGGTTCCTTGTCAGAGCTGCACACAGGAAGCTGGTGGATACCAGGGAGTAGTGTATTAACCAGGGAAGAATCGGCTTGAGAACTAGCCTCCAAATATTTGAGAGTTAACTGCCCTTGAACCCCCTGCCTCCCTCCCCCCACCATGCCTGCTGTTTTGGACTTCAGAAGATTAGACCAGGAGAGACCGGACTGGGCAGTGACATGGAAGAAAACAGAAAGCACTTCACATTTCTATTTTGAGAAGTTGCTAGGCAGTGCTAGCTCTTAGTGTGGAGAATTAGCTTTTTGGAAATCTTAACTCCTGTAGAATTAATGAGCAATGAAGGTCACAATCCTCTGGTTCCTCTCTGTAACTTTTTTCCTAAATTGGGCCCCAGAAACAGATTCTATATGGGGGGGCAGTAATAAAATGTTACCTACACCCAAGGCTTTATTTAACCCAACCTGGTGAGTCAGGTATGAGCTCTTACCTAGCTGTGCAAGCTGGCAAGATCCAGATCCTCCAAGGCCATTTCTGGTGTACAAGTGTGTCTGTTTTCATCTGTTATTGTGTCGAGTTGCTTTCAATGTTGCTAAAAAGATTGGCTCCCTTAAAAATACTGTTTAAGGTGAATGTAAACATTATATCCTGAAAACTCTTATTAATAAAATGAAATTTTAAAAACCCAGCAGACCTGGGTTGTTTGTAGCAGCACAGGTGAACTAAAGGTTAGTCTGGCTGGTGAAACCAGAATGTTTTTCTTCCCAAAAGACCCGCCAGCCAGAATGTGTGGTTTGGTGATCAGGGTTTGTATAATAATCACTTTGATTGTAGCTGCTGAGATAGTAGTAAACACTATGGTCACATGGCCAGCAAGTAGGGTAAGGGCCAGATTTCAACCCAACCCAGATGGCCGCCTAGGGCCAGCAAATCTCACACTGATTGCTTTGGAATTTGTTAGTTCCAGAGGCCAGAAGTAGTTGTGATCGAGGGTGCCCAAGGGAAGAGGAACTTGAAGGGCTCAGAGTGGCATTTGGGAAACCAGAAATGTCAGTGTTAACTATCCAGCTTTTCATAATTTCAGGATCCTCCTGAAAAAGATATTTGTGATACTAGGGAAACAGAAAACTCCTGGAAAACACACTGGAAAGACACGTGCCAGGGGGAGACTGCAAAGTGGACTGCAAGCACATAACCCATCCTCAGGCTGACAGAGTACCTGAGGGGAGGCTGTTGCTGGGTAACAGGCAGAACTATTTCAAAACCAGGACCAGCGGTCTCTGAGTTTGTGTGTGTGTGGTAAAATATCTGTAGCATAAAGCTTACCATTTTTACCAGTTCGGTAGAGTTAAGAGTGTGTTATCACTTTGCATTATTGCCGCCATCCACCTCTAGAACTTTCTCATTCTCCAAACTGAAACTCTGTTCTTGTTAAGCACTATGTCCCCATTTCCCCTTGCTCCTCATCCCTTGGCCCCTACCGTTCAACTTTCTGTCACTGTGATTTTGAATATTTTAGAAACCCCACATAGGAGGCACTGTACAGGATCTGTGCCCTTATGACTGGCTTATCTTACTTAGCATAACGTCTTCAAGACTGACCCATGTTGCAGCACATGTGAAAATTTCCTTCCTTTCTAAAAGAGAATTATATTCCATTGTAGGGATGCACTACATTTTGTTTATCCATTGTATCTGTTAGTAAGCATTGGGTTTTTAGCAATTGTGAATGATAATGCCTCTATAAATATGAGTGAATAAATACTATTTTGAGTCCCGGTTTCATTCTTTTGAAAAAAAAAAATATATATATACACACACACACACACACACCAGGAAGTAAGAAGTTGCCGTGTTTTTTTTTTTTTGTTTTCTGGTGATACTGGGGATTGAATGCAGGGCCTTCACACTGAGCTACATCTCCAGCCCTTTTTAAATTTTTTATTTTGAGGAAGAGTCTTGTTAAGTTCCTAAGTTGCCCAGCCTAGGCTTCAACTTGTGATTTTCACTGCCTCAGCTTTGCAGAGTGCAGGGATTGTAGCCTGGGTCACCACGCCCAGGTGAGTTTAAGAAATGGAACCCAAGGTCATAGACATTTTTATCCTGTATCTTGTAAAATTTTAAAGGGCTACAACCCATTTGTGTATTTTTGTGGGTGTGTATACACAGACACACACAGACACACACACATGGGGGGGAGAGGAAAGAGGGAGAGAGAGGGAGGGAGAGGGAAAGAGGGAGGGAGAGAGGGAGGAAAAGGAAGGGAGGGAGGGGGAGAGAGAGAAGGGAGGGGAAGAGCGCGAGCACAGGAGAGATTGCCAAAAAATGTATACATCAGGAAAAGAAACACTCGTAAAAAACTGTAATACTAAATTTATCAATATATCATGAGATTAATACAAGTTACCTTTGGCCTTTACAATTACTAGAGATTCTCAAAGTAGTGGCCGTTTGCTTCCAGACATTTATTAGTAAGGTAAACTGCTGAAATGTGTACACATTTTTTCGGGGGACTTTGTGTGTGTGTGTGTATAACTTGA